GAGAATTAATTACAATATTAAACATTTTATTTCCATTACATTTTTATACATCTATGATGTATCCTACACGGCTATTTAAGCTAGATTGAGTTATTATAAGCAAACTTCTTTTTTCGTTCTTCCGTTATTTTATATAATTATAGATCAAATTTAAAATTAAAATTATTGAATAAGCTAAAATAATTTTCCATTATTCATCTGCACGTGATAGGATGTCTCCGAAGACTATTAAATTTGATTTTAAAATTTAATTTATTCGTTTATTTTTAAAAAAAATTATGCATATTGGATGACATCGAAGGGACATTTTAATTTTTTTTTCTTCTGAAAATGGTTTCTTCAATCGTTTATTTATCACAATAATCATATATCATGTCATATTGATCACCATTTTTTTATTTATTAAAATAATAATAATAATAACAACAACAGAATTCAAACTTAAAATTTTATCAATTAAAATAATTACTTTTAATTCAATATGTAGTTGGTGGAGTAAGTGTCATTAATGATATTGAAATTAGGAGTAACTTTAATTCATCCAATGCAATACTTTCATATATGCTATATTAAGTTTTTTTTTTATCGAGTTTTTAGAACTCATGTTTCATATATAGAATAAGATAATAACTTTTGTCGTGGACAGCCTCATGCACTCTTCTATTTCATTCTCCCTGATTGATTCTTATATATCATTTATATCTATGTTATTTTTCCATCGTTTTACATGATAAACACTATGAGTGATTGTGTCAAGGATTATAAAACTATTTTTAGGACTGTAAGTGTACAAATATAACATTCTCACATTTGGCACAAGTTATAAGAAGACATTGTCAGACATTATTAATAGGAATCTATGTTACACATTTTCCCCTCTTTCTATTGCTATGTAATAGGGTATAATATTAGTTTTTTTACGGGATATATTTATTAAGAATGGATTATGTAAAAGAATATATAGGAATGCTATATTTGTTAGGGTATAATATTAATTTTTTTTACGGGATATATTTATTAAGAATGGATTATACCTTATGGGTATTTACATGCAATTTCATTTTGATAATAATATTGTCTATTACTTTAGGCCTAAACATTTATGACTTTAATTTATTTTTTTATGATGTAGAACTTTGTTTATATTTCAATAATATATTCTAAAAAAAATAAAAATAAAAATAAAAATAACTTTTTGCAACTTCTCTTTTTCACTTCATTATGTCTTTTTTTTTTTCCTTTCTATTTTTCAACTCAAAAATTAAAAACATTCCGAGTAATAATAAGTACTTACCAAACATCTTTGCTAGAAATAATATTCCTTAGTAATAGTATTTTTGAGAATATCATTCTCAAAATTCAAAAATATGATTAAATCATTGAAACAAAAGTCTCATAGATATATGTAAATTAATGGATTAAATTTATGATAAAATTAATATTATAATTTTATTTTAATAATATATATGTATTTATATTTAATAATATATTTCAATAATATATATGTATTTCATTACTAATTAAATAATATCACTAACATTACCAATTATACTATATATAAGTTATAAGTTCATAACAATGTTTATTACTATATTGTTACTATAATTATTATGTTTAAGGTTTTTTTTTATTAATTTTTAAAAAATATTTAGTATTAATAAATGTAAAATCTAAAGTACTCTTATCTAATATCTTGAAATATATAAAGTAAGAAGAAATATAATTATGGATTACGAATATTAATTGTCCAATAAAGATATATATAAAAAAATAATTAATATCACTTGAAAAGTGTGAGATATACAAATTTTTGTAGAAAAAAAAAGTATAAAACATTAAAAAAATCATGATCTAAAAACAGTATTAATATTAAAAAAATGACATTTCGGACATACTTAATAATGAAAAAACATAAAATATAAATGATGTGAACTAAACGTGGCAAATTATTAGTTAATAGTCTATTTTCGTGATGAAAAAACTGAAAATAATAATTCATGAGATGGTTGTTTTGAACCAATTCTACAGAAGCATCCCGTCCAAGAATATGCGCATAAAACATTAACTTGAAAAAAAATCAATTAATCGTGTAGAAATAATGAAAATGCTATTTTCCCCTCAAAAAAAAAAATGAAAATGCTATTTAAAACAAGCATCATATGGTTGAACACTCGGAGATATTTGGTACACAATTTTTTTTTATTATTTTTTTTCGAGAATTTGATGTCGAGGTTGATAGTTTTTTTTTTGTTTGTTATTTGAAAAATAACATCTTTAGAAACATTGTTTTTCAGTTATAGGTTTTGTATATATTTCTAACAAAATTATTTTTGTGAAGGGAGATGATAAATTAACTTTGGTGATAAAAATAAAAATTTTAACTCGTATTAGAGAACAAAATTAATTACACTTAAGAAATTGTAGTTAAGTTTTGTCCTTATATATATATATATTCTCAAAAATATTTATGATCAATTAAATAATTTTTTTATAATTTTTAAGAATTATAATTGTCAATATTTATGATTTTTAAGTATGAAAAAATTGTCATATATTAAATGTTCCCAATTATTATTATTTTTTTTTTACTTTTCTACGAATCTAAAGTTGAAAATGTTATTTTTCTATATTTAGTTTATCAGCAAAAAGATAACATTCGTAAGAATGTTTTTTATACATGTTTTCCAACAAATACAAATTATTTTCATAAGAGTAGGTGAAAATCTAACATATTTCTAAATTAAAAGAAGTTTTTTTTATTGTGATAAAAATATTACATTACTTTAATTTACTAAATTAATATTTTATAAATCTTTAATTTTATAATATTTATAAATATTTTTAAAAATATTTATGATGAATCAAACAAATTTAGTAATTCTTAAGAATTGATTATATTTATGATTCACATAAATCATAATTTTTGTATCAATATTTACACTAATCAGGAACTGTTTTTTATGGGATAATTAAATAACACAGATAAGAGATGATGTTGTCATTAGTTCTTTAATGATTTTAGCTTTTGATTTTAAAGACAAAGAGGAAGCGTACGTTATGGGTAGTAAATAACAATAATGGAGTTGAATAAAATTAGGGCTTATATAGGGCAAACGCTGGCGAACATCTAGAGCGATTGAGCTGGCTTGTCCCAATTCCCAAATTGTGCAATTCCAAATTTAGGTGGCTTTAAATGTAGATTAATAAAACATAAACGTCCACTACTCTTATTTAATCTTCGACCTTTTCTTTAAATACCCAATTTTAATCTCAGTTTAGGGTTTGTACAATCTGATTGCACCTTTCAACAACCGACTATTTTAAATTCCATTACTGAGTAATCTTCATAATGAAATTTCTTTTCCCTTGGTTTTCTTAAGCTAATTTCAATTATAAACATATTATAAATTAGAATATATATAGTACAATTTATTATTTAGAGTTTAAATTTTCCCCACCTTCCTCATTCTATAAAATACACATTGTTAATAATTTTTTCTTATCTCATTTGAATGTACATTTTACGTATTATCTATTTTGAATATATGTTTCACTCATTGTTTTTGCGATTATAAAAAAAAATTATCTACTGACCATATCAAATTACTCCGCTTTAATCTTTATTTGCATATTTGAGTTTTTTTTTTTAATTTGTCTATCTCTTTCAATTTATTCTCTTTTATTTCTAAATTAAATTTTAATAATCTATTTTAAAATAATTGCTAATAATTAAAAATCTAATATTACAATTTAATTTATTATTATTATAAATCTAGAATGCAATTCATATAATTTTATTTATTATGTTTTTTAGTTATAATATAATTTATATATTTTAAAATATTCATCATATTAAAGTAAACATTTACCTGTACAAACACAAAGTAAAATAGTTAGAAGTGAGACTCTTGATTTATTCTCCATCTCTGTTAATTCACTTTCTATATTTTCTCTCCTTTTTTTAAGTATGATTTTCATTCATAATAGTTGAGAGTATAATTTTTTTTTTTTACTTTCCTTATCTCTATGTGACTTGTTTATTTTAATTTATGATTTTATTCATAAAAGTTGAGAGTATAAAAGTTTTTTTTTTGTACTTTCTTTATCTCTATGTGACTTTTTTTTTTTAGTTTAATTTTAAATTAGTTTTTTTATCATTGAAAATTTTAAATATATCCTTATATAAAACTATTCATGTCATTATTTATTTATTTAAATAAAAATAAAATAATTAAAAAGTTTAATCTTTTCTCATCTTCTATACTTAATTTTTTTTTTAGTTTTTAAAATATTAATAAAATATGAAAACTATTCATATTGTATAGTATATATTAATTCACCAAAAGTTAAATTGATTTCAGTTCATCTTTAGTGAGAAAATTTTCATCATTTTAAAGCATTAATTTTGTAAAAATAAAATGATGAAAAATATCAAAATATACTCTGTGTTATTGGTTAAAATTATTATAAAACATAAAATTTGATGATATTTAATAATTTTCTCCTAATTTTATGAGAGAAGTGTAGTAGAGTGATTTAGATTTAGTACGACTCCCGCAGCCAACAATATTAAAACACTTACAGGTTACAGGTACATGGGGGCGGCAGATTGTTTAAAAATGTGAAACTTTTTTATGGAGAGTTTCCTTTGAGGAATGAACAAAGAAAAAGTGAAAAGGAAGGGAAAGAATTACTAAACTGAAAGCAGTGACGACGCATAACACATAGACATAGCATCATTTGTTTTTAGTTCACCAATCAATAACGTGTGATTTTGACCCAAACCCAGTGTGGACGGTTTACCGATCTAATTAACGCGCATGCTTGTGGTATGGCAGTGGTCTATAAATGAGAACACATTAAAAAAACAATGGCAAAGCAGCAATAAGAAGGAAAGAACAAGGTTAAAGAGAAACATGAGTAAACCCCAGTTGGCTTATTCAATGCCCCCGCATGTAACAATTAAAAGTTCGTTGGGGTAGTTGTATCGACTAACCTCCCCCTCCTCTCTCTCTCTCCTCACACCCTTTAAAACCCTCCCATCTTTCATAATTTTATATCCCATTCATCTTCTTCCCCTCTTCTTATTCACATTCTTAGGCTATATAACACATGCTCTCTTCCAAAGTTTAGTACTTTCCCTTTCATAAAGAAAACCCTTAGCCATTACATTAGTCACACTTTTTAATTTCATTTTGAGCATTTGTTTTCTTCCATTTTGGGTATTCAACTCTCCCCCACCTAATGGCAGATCAAACCCATGATTCAGGATCCGTTTCTGTTGGAACTTCACAAGAAGGAAGGAAGCTTCCAAACTTTCTGCTATCTGTGAGGCTAAAGTATGTGAAGCTTGGGTATCACTGCTTGATCTCAAATGCTATGTACCTTATGCTCATACCCCTTATCGGGCTAGCTTCTGCTCATCTATCAACGATCTCTTACCAAGATGTTGTTCAACTATGGGAAAGTCTCAAGTTCAATCTTGTGTGGGTGACTCTATGTGTTAGTCTTATAGTATTCCTTGCCACCTTTTACTTTATGAGCCGCCCAAGAGGTATTTACTTGGTGGATTTTGCATGTTATAAGCCTGAGCCAAACTGCACTTGCACAAGGGAGACTTTCATGGACAGGTCCGTCAATGCTGGTGCGTTTTCAGAGGAGAACTTGGCCTTTCAGAAGAGGATAATCGAGAGGTCTGGTTTGGGCCAGAAGACTTACTTGCCTTCTGCAATCTTGAGTGTCCCTGCAAACCCTTGTATGGCTGAAGCTAGAAAAGAAGCTGAGCAAGTCATGTTTGGAGCCATTGACCAGCTTCTCCAGAAAACTGGGGTCAAGGCTAAGGATATTGGGATTTTGGTGGTCAATTGCAGTTTGTTCAATCCCACACCATCTCTCTCTGCCATGATTGTCAACCACTACAAGTTGAGAGGGAATATCCTAAGTTATAACCTAGGTGGCATGGGTTGCAGTGCTGGCCTTATCGCTGTAGACCTTGCCAAACAGCTCCTCCAGGTTTGCACTTTTATTTTTTCGAAAAATTTAATTAATCATCCCTTCTTTAGTCACACTACTGGTTAGGTACTGGCTATGCTCATGATCATTTGGATATCACTTAACATATATTATCTAACTATCTTCCATGCATGTCTCTATAGTCTATATCTTCATGCGGCCGGCCAAATTAAAAATCAAAAGGAATTCATGTAATTGGATGTGTTCAGTATAAACATCGGGCGGGGCCGCAAGAGGCCCTTAATACATAGGAGTAGATGTTAATTTCTTATGGTATATATGGCGATTGCTGCCCCAGCTGTCCACATGTCCAGTTGGTCTAGTTCTGTATCCATTTTTGTGCCAGTTTTGTTAGGTTGGCGATTTAGCCGCCCTATTTAATGCGGTCCCGAGCCACAAGTATCCTAAAAGATAAGGGCCCTTTTGGATCATGGACGTGTTTACAAGTGTAAACAGTTATTGATCACTTGTACAGTTAGGGGAATGAAGCTTTGAAATATTATCAATTCGAAGTTATATATGATTTTACTATATATACCAACGGATCCTGTTGTGTGTTGTCTATCTATAATGATGATTAATGACTTGATCATATGTGGTTATTGATTAGTTTTGTACACATGAATCCTTTTCCTTTTTTTAAACGAACATGTATGATTGTCTCAAGATAAAAGGCTAACTATTCCCATTTTTATGACAATTATATATATAGGTTCATCCAAACTCTTATGCCTTAGTGGTGAGCATGGAGAACATCACTCTCAACTGGTATTTTGGCAACAACAGGTCAATGTTAGTCTCAAATTGTCTCTTTAGAATGGGTGGAGCTGCGGTTCTCCTCTCCAACAGGCCTTCTGATCGCAGAAGAGCCAAATACCAACTGATCCATACAGTGCGTACTCATAAGGGTGCAGATGACAAATGTTACGGTTGTGTGTTCCAAGAAGAAGATGAGCAGAAATCAATTGGTGTGGCACTTTCAAAGGACTTAATGGCTGTTGCTGGAGAAGCCCTCAAGACCAATATCACAACACTTGGCCCATTAGTCCTTCCTATGTCAGAGCAACTATTGTTCTTTGCAACTTTGGTGGCTAGAAAAGTGTTGAAGATGAAAATAAAGCCATACATCCCAGACTTCAAGCTAGCTTTTGAGCACTTTTGCATCCATGCTGGAGGAAGAGCAGTGTTGGATGAGTTGGAGAAAAACCTTGAACTCACTGATTGGCACATGGAACCTTCAAGGATGACTCTGAACAGGTTTGGCAACACTTCTAGCAGTTCCTTGTGGTATGAGTTGGCGTACACTGAAGCTAAAGGGAGGATCAAGAAGGGTGACAGGACATGGCAGATTGCATTCGGTTCAGGTTTCAAGTGTAACAGTGCTGTGTGGCGTGCACTGAGGACCATTAATCCTGCAAAGGAGAAAAATCCTTGGATGGATGAGATTCATGAGTTTCCCGTTCATGTGCCTAAGGTGGCAACCATTAGTTCCTAAGTTAATTAAAACCTCTTGCCTTTTTTGGGGAGGAGGCTATCGAAAAGGAGGAAGTTAATTTACTTGAGCTTTTCAGTTTTCACTTTTCATAGTTAATCTTAATTAATTAGGAGGTCTGCAAAATTAGAAAAGAAGATTACTCCCGGCAGATTGCTGGTTTGGTACGTAGTTTCTTTGATCTTCTGCTAGTGTTACTCTTGAAGTTGTAAGAGTGTATACAATATTATCCAATGAAACATTTATTACACGATTTTTCATAACATGTATTACTTCATTGACCTTTCAAAGGTTAACCAAAATTGAATTTTTTTAAGTTGATTGTTGAGATGAGGGTGTATATTGGAGAAAGAAAAACCTACGGAGAGTTGTTAAGGTTTGATTAAAATTCTCTTTTAATTTATTTAAATAACACTTCAATAAACAATATGGACCACATTTACATTTTATATTAAATAAGGGTATTTTATATTAAATACCGAAATTAGTTAATGATTTTTTTTTCTTGTACTAATTATATATATAAAAAATAGACTTACATTGAGATGTATTAATAGTTAATTTTTTTTTATATATCATTTATTTGTTATTAATAAGATATTTACTTCTTGTATACGTTAATGTGTTTATTGATTTATTAACAATTCAGGTGGATTAGTTCATTAAAGTATTTTTAACTGGAAGTTCTTAGCTGGTTCTTAAGTTTAAACTCTCATTACTTATAAGAAAACTACAATAGAGCATGCTGACATAGCAATGTAAGTGCTTAAAATTTAAGCATAGTTCATTATATAAGACAAAGTTGCTTAGAAATAAAAAAAAATTTAATATCTGCTTCTTTCCAAATTCAGTCTGCCCACAAGCCATATACACACTTTTGAAGGAAAAAGTATATACTACAGGGTTTATGGTATTTATTTAGTGCATATTTATTATATAATTTTTTTTATTAAGTAATTTTTTATTTTTAATATTTAATATTTCTTAACGCATTATAATGATTGTGTAATTTTTTTTTAATTTTTTTTATATTCATATTCATATGTTATCCATAATAATTTTTTTAAAAATTTATCAAAAAATGAAGTATGAGTTATCAAAAAGTGGAGGTGCTTATAAACCATTCCCGTTGGAGCAAAAATTGTAAAAATATAATATGAATTGCTTATGAGTGGTGACATAATGAGACCCATTTAAAGTAGATGAGAGTTGTTTATAAGCAATTCTCGTTGTAGATGCTTTTAGAAAAAAGTATCACTTGATTGAAGCAGGTGTGTCGTCATTAAATGTAATTATTATTTAAATCAATCAATTTAAATTATATTTTTAAAATAAAACTTAAATTTTTGTATTATTAATAAAAATTAACTATGGTAACTAATTTTATTGATCTTCGTAAATTTGTGATTTATTTCTTATATAAAGGATTAGAGTACTGTAATATATTATAAAGAAAGTATATTTACAATATCTTCTCATTATATATTTCTATTTTTTAATTTTTAAATCAGTATCTTATAGGACCATTGTTAACATTCCCTAGTTTTTCACTTAACAACAAAACTTAGGTATTATACCATAATTACTTTTGGTACACTAGTATATCTCGGTCAAAATTGAAATTTCACTTCAATAATTAACATGTATTTACATTTTTTAAACATCGGTAATACACATTTTCACATATTATTGAGGTGATGGAATCCTAATTTTTATTGGTGAGTAATACCCACAATATCTATAGTATTGTACTTAAATTATATATGCTTTTAATCTATACAAATATAAAAAATAAATAGTTATTGGAAAAATTCGATTGACTTAATTTATAAAAAAAAAAAAGTGAAATAGTGTCTTTAAAATAAAATATGTGTATAGAGACGTTAGAAATGCAGAAAATGACATGAATCTAATAAGAATTGTGAAAATTATACTTAATATATTTTCTTTAAATGCAAAAGGGCATGTAACGACATGACAGTGGGTAGGGTAGATATTGCCATATTCCCCGACCAAGAGGCAGTGGTCATAAGCCTTTCTTAGATCTTATATGCCGACCATTTTCAGCCACTGCATGCAGACCATAAAACTTTTTCAATTTTCAATTTCAACCCAATCGTAGCTGGATGCATTTTTGTTTCTGCAACTTCATTTCACTAATAATATATTCTCTCACAACACTTCATACCATTTATAACATGTTTACGCTGGAAACAAAGCAACACATAGTTGCTTCAAATTTATCACATTTAACCAATACATACTTATTATTTAGTATTAGGGGGAAAAAAGTCAAAGAAAAGAAAAACAATGACAAATTATATGATTTTCAACTTGTTTAATAACAGAAAAACTAAAGGGATTTTTTTTTGTCTCTCGTTTGATTGTATAGAAAATAAAAATAAAGAATAATGTGTATATAAATGTTCCGGCCAAAAGGTAGACTAGGGTTTTTTCCTAGATCGTGCCTCAGAGCCAGAGCATTCAAAAGTGTAATCTGTCTTCTTAGCTCTAGGGTTTTGGGTTTTATACTTTTGTGTTTATGGGCTTCGTGGACCCCGCGATTTTCGGGATTCTCCTTAACCGCTCTTATCCTGAGGTCGCGGGAGTGGGTGGTTGTTAGTCAAGTCGGTATTTTACCGAGAGTGCCTTCACAAGGAGACCTATCGGGAAAGTGACGAATTTCCTCTCGGGTGCATGTAGCCGAGATTGGAGCCGAGTTGCCACACCTTGTGATAGTACCGTCAGATATTGGACGAGTAGAGGGTCTAGTCGGGATTTTTCCTAGACGGTATGTTAGTCGAGTTAGTTCTCAGCTTCCGAGAAGCTACTCGGTTTGGGGCGCCATGATTCACTCCTTCCGAGAAGATACTCGGCCTAGGATGATGACGGTCCCCTCTCGGCCTAGGGCCACGACGGTCCAATAAAATAACAAATATTTCTAATAAAAATTGTATTATAAGATCAGCTCTCGTTCATCTTTCCATGCAAATTGGAAAGATTGAAAAAATATATTGGGCCACACGTTTTTTTTTTTACGCATCTTCTCGCATATAGGAATAACATATATATGAGGGGAGGAATTGATTTTTTTTTTTTTAATGTTTTTCTTTCATGCAATGTTTCTTTGCTTATTTTTCTTTCCTTTCAAACGTATAATGATGTGTTTGCTAAAGAGATAAAAAAGAAATTGAGAAATAAAGTAAAAATTGAAATTATTTAATAAAATAGAAATAGAAGAGAGGATACTTTTTTTTTATTTAGTTTATACTAGATTAAATAAAAGAACTAAAATCAATTTTATCAATTAAATTATACAATTATTTTTTTATATATATTATAAAATCAACTTTAATATGAGTACAAAAAAGCCATAAAAAAAAAGCTACTTCACCTCAAATCCTCTCATATTAAGATGTATAAAAACATGTGGATCCCACCACATAATTCCCTTTCTTTCACTCAAATCTATTAAACGAAACACACACACACACACACAATATATCAACTTTCACTATCTTTCATCATCTTTCCTCCTCCTTCTAACTCTATTACGTTAGTCATCATACATAAATTAAGGGTAAGAGATCCAAATTTTATTTTTGATTCTAATAATTTATTTATCATTTTTTTATATCATATTATATAAAATAGTGTTTGGTAGAAGGAGGATGAAGAAAGGAGATAATTTTTATAATTTTTTCTTATGATTCAAATTTTAGTAAGAAAGAATGGGAGAATGGATGGGATCAAAATTTTTCTTTATAGAATTTTAGCCATCCTTCAATGTTTGAAAGATTTGGAGGAGAGGAAAGAAAAAAAAAAATCGACTTTTCATATTGTAGTTTTCGTGTAAGAAAAAAAAATACTGTTTGAATATATAATTATATATAGTATCACCGGTTTAAAGGGATAAAATTGTAAAATTCTTTTTATCTCAATTGATCCTCCAGGCAAGACCCATCCTCTTGAAAGATAAGGGGAACACGGGAATATGATGTTTTGTAAACTATATCACATATTCGCATCTTCATTTATTTATTTATTGTTAAGATGATTAAATTTTGTAAAAAAGTATAATTTTTTTTTTCAAATAGTAATCTAATTTAATTTGTCCATTTGTCATAGAATAGAAATTAGTTATTTGACATTGATTCTTAAAATTAAAAAGAAATGTGAAATAAGTTTCTGAAACTGTATATTGCCAATTATATTAGATGAATTTTAAAAAGATGTATGACTAAATTGTTAATATTGATATATATTTAAAGATGAAAATAGCCATATAGTTAATTATGTTATGTGAAAGCTATCCTTGAAAATGTTGATAATAAACATAAACATAAACATAAATGTGAATGAATAGAATTGAGAAGTTATTTGTAATTGTGCAGTGAGTGGGACATGTGATTAGCTGTGGACAACGAATTTTCCAAATGAAGTGGGCCTGAACTGGCTTAACACTTTCCGAGTCCATGAGCATTGGCATCTCTCTATCTCCCATCATCAACATTCAACATCAACCAGACCCATCCATCCATCAACAAATTTTTCTCTGCCTTTCTACCCATTCCATCCAATCGAATAATGTCAAAAGCAAAAGTAAACATGCCAAAAACCTACAATCAAGGAACAGAAACAAACATAATTAGTGTCATCATTACCATGTGCCTAAGTGGGGGGATTGCTGTTTTTGCTACTCTTTTTGCATTACTTCACTTCACCTTTGCATGTGCCACTTTTCAATACTACCTCCAAATACTTCATTTTGGTAGGTAGAAAGTAGAGACTAGGAAAATCTATATCAAAGATACTGTTGGAAAAATATACTGCCAATTCTGTTCATAGAATAAACAAATCAAGCATAATTATAATTATATTTTAGTTTATTGAGCTAATGGTAAACAGCTTTTCTAATTGCCTTGTTTATTTTTATCAATTACATAAAGTTTCAAGTTATTAAATAATGTGTTCCTGTTATAATATTATACGTAGTACATGGGAATGGGAAGTTCCCGTCCCCCTTCAAACTTTCCCTTTACAAAATGACAGAATATTATTTAAAAGCTGAGATTACAAATATTAAACATTTTTTTTTTTTTTATTTCATTCAACTTACAAATTAGATTAACAACATTGCATTGTACTGAACTATTTTGAAAAATAATAGATAATTTGATTAATATAATAAACTTAAAGATTGTTGGAGATTTTTATTCTCTGTAATTCTATAGTTATTTTGCCCGACTCAAAAAGAATTATATCTTAAAAAAGAAAAAAACTTAAAAAGGTTGCTTTCCTTTTATAGAAGAAATTGATAGCGAGCAACATTTGGAAACAGGTAACGAGTTTCCGTTCAAGTTTTATAATTATAGAACAACAGAAACTGTGCACATTCAAGGTAAGCACCACGAATGCATTTAAAACTACAGATCGTATAATGAAGTTAGCTAAGTATAACCTAACCTATTAAAGAAGTTAGAGAAAAAATTACTTTCACAATAACACTGGGGACAAAAATATTTACTACTGTACCGTATACGCTAAGACAAGATTACTTGGTACAAGGTAGTCACGATAATACGTAAGTATTTAAGATTAGTGTACCAGTACATAAAAAAATAAGATTACGCATATTACTTTAATTTAAACAACAGCGAACGGTTGTATGATTTTTGTGACTCTAAATTTTCATTTAATTATTAATAAGTGATCCAAAAGGGATGTAATTATTATTGTGATGCGAGAGACAATGAACTGAAATGTAGATAGTAAATAATATAAAGGAATGTTGATAAAGTAGAGGAAGAGATATGAATATGATACATAGATAAGTAAGAAGAAGAAGAAGAAGAAGAAGAAGGAAATGTAATGTTGTGTAAAGGAAGGAAGGTTTAATCGAGAGCATTGGGGCCAGCACAGGCCTTCAAAACGGGGCTCCAAATCCACTGGACAAGAAACTTCCTGCCATTCCGACCGTTAAGATTGAAGGTCCTGCCACGCCCGTCCTTCATCACGGACCCGATGTACCCACCGCCGCCGCCCGTTCCGTACAGGCCCTCGCAGAGGTCTCCGATCTCGGTGGGCGCGGTGGGGTCCTCCCCGGCGTACCACGCGTTCACCAGGGGGTTCGACGACAGCTCCGCCAGCTCGTGCCCGATCACGCTCACCATGCCGTCCACGCCCACGTCCGCGTTCGGCGGGGCCAGGTGCCCCGGGCCCCCTCCGCCCATGTAGCCGGGGACGGCGAAGGGGTAGGCGCAGACCTCCGGGCACTGCTTGCCGGAGTTCCCCACCCAGGCGTAGGGGAGCGTGTAGCCCACCTTGGAGGGGAAGGTGAAGTAGTGGAAGCCGCAGACGGCGCGGCAGAACTCCTCCATGGTCACGTCTTCGGAGGTCAGGATCAGGTAGATCCCGTTGCGGTGGTCCACCGGGAAGGGCTTGGCCTGGACCGCGCTGGCGATCACCTCCTGCACGGAGAGGCGCGTGAGGTGGGTCCCGTGCGAGTAGCGGAGGTCGGCGTACTCGCCCGCGATGGAGACGGAGCGGGAGATGTTGGCCCCGGTCTGGTCCGTGTAGAGGGAGACTGTGCGCCACCAGTCGGCCACCGAGGGGGAGGGTGCCGCGGTGGAGGAGATGGAGAGGAGGAAGTCCTTGATGAGGAGCTTCTGGGATTGGGGCCACTTTCCGTACCATATTAGGTAGATGTTGATCGGCGAGGAGAGGACCGGTCCCATGTGGTATTTGAGTTTGACGAACTCGGAGGAGCCCTCGAAGCGCTTGGAGGATGAGAGGGTTCGGAGCGGTGGGACCTGCGGGTTGAAGTGCTTTGCCTTTAGATTTAGGGTTTCTGTTTGCACCTCTTCATTATTTCTTCTTGTTGCCCTGCAATGCATTACAGCAATTAGCAGGGACAGCAGGAAGAAGAGGGTTTTGGACATGGTGAGAGTTTAGAAATAAGGGATGGTGTGAGAGTGAGTGTGGTATTTAGGATATTTGAAGACAAGGAGGGAACATGGGCTGGAGACAGCTGCCATCTGTGGGTCCACTTTATTCACCATAATCAATCATAAATATCTCTTTCTCTCTATTTTTATTTTGTTTACTCATTAACCCTTTTCACCTTTTACTCTCTTTACTCTTTACTCTGCAACCTGCTTCCTTGGTTAGTTTTATTTTTATTTACGCTCTGGGGTCTCTCTGCTCTCCGCACCTCAAAACTACGTTCTTGGAAACATAGCCATGGCCGTGATGGGTGCAAAAGATTGCGGATTGGTTAGTGGTTGGTGGGTGTACGGGGAGACAAAGGAGTCAGTCCCCGTCCAATGCCGCAAGTGGGGTTAGTGTTACTCATTTTCAATTCCCTCCTTTCTTTTCCAACTATTCATATTTTACCATATAACTCACCAGCATTTCCTTTTCATAATGCTACTCTTCTCCACTTCACAATTCACATCCATCTTGTTTCTTTTCCATATCTCCGCACCTGCCTTTAACAAAATCACTCCCGCACTTGACGCAACTCACTAATCTAATGCAAGAACATCATAACAAGTACACACCATTATTTATTGACAAAAAAAAGTTATTACAACATTATTTTTTGAAAAGAAACAACTCTATCTTCACATTTTGAGTGGACTACCATATGTTATTTAGGCTTTTTTGTTTCCATCTGTGTGTACTCTTATTTCAACCCGCAAATGCTAGCAATAAGAAATATACCCGAAAGTTATCTACCATCCAGAGAAAGTAACCCTCACTAAGTATGGTGTTGGGAGGTTGCTAGCGAGCGAGTGATCCACCCCATGTGTCCCTCAACCGCTGAAAGTTCTCCTTCAGTCACGGTGTGCAGGCTGTCTAGAAATCATTAACTTATCTGAAATCAGTTAGTGCTGCTGCTGCTGCCCACCAAGATGGTTCCACTTCCAATAATTTACTTTACTCTGCCCTCTGCACTCCCAACCAGAACCACTTCTGGCCCATTTATCTCATTTCGCATCCAGATCGTAATTTATTAACTAAATCCTATTTTTACTCTTTTTAACTCAACATGCAAGTTTCATCACTTTATTTCTATAAATTATTTTCACGTCAATTATGTTCTTTGATCATGGAAAATAGCATTAATTATTTTATTCAGTCAACAGACCGCAAGATTAAGGGAATTAATTCATGTTGTTTTTAATGATCAAGAACATGATTTGATATTAACGTTACATGAGATAGAGACTGAATGGACGAAAAAATCTTGAATAACTAAGCACTTGTTTGGAAACAGGGTGGACCACGTTGAAAAAATTATAATAGCTTTAAAACTATTACGAAAAGGGTGTTAATATTTTGAAATCTTATTTTTTTAAAATATTTCATCAACACCACCTCTTATTTATTTTTATCATTTTACTTCACCTATCTTATTATAATTGGTTCTCTTTTTTTCTTTTACTAGATTTTGAATTTTATATTGAGTGTCTAAAAATTGTTTTTTTAATGAAAAATCTCAGTTGCGAATCCAAAAATACTGTACAATAACGACAGTTAGTATTTTTGGAAGACAGAAATGAGGTTTCCACCAATTTATTTTGACTACTTCAGGGGCAACTAATCAGTTGCCTTGCTGGCTGAGGAGGTAAAACCACAGAAAAGTCTTGATTTATATCAAATCGGGTTCGAAATTATTGATCTTTCTCAATCCGATCAATAGTTCAAGCCACTTTCAGTATCTCTCTAGCTATTTATATATATATGGTATCTGTGCTAATAGAAGTTTAAAAAAAAAATGCAAATGAGAGATAATGAAATATTCGATATACAACTTACAACTACTAGTGTCAAGTCAAGGATGCTGTAGTTTGCAGAATTGCAGGTCATCTTCTGATGTCCAAGTGGTGAGTATGCTAAAATGCAGAGGACAATATATATATGCTATGGCCTATTATGGGTCTTTGCATAAACCTAGTTATATTAAATTATCACCGGTGAGTGATGCAAACAACTCAGTACCACATGCTTTTCATGATGAAGATTACGATTATTTATTTGATTTAGTTACTATTCGGAGAACATATTTCCTTCTTTCTCCCGAGCTTTTCATGCACTTTAGCAATCTTTTACTTGTCTTGTTTAATTTATATCTCAATGTTCAATACACTTTTTCGTGTATTACTTTATACATTTTATTGGTGACATTAATTCCTTGCTCAAATTAACGCTCTGTTTTTTTTATGTGTAATATAGCGACGAAACTAATGAGAGAGAAAAGAAAGATATCATTTTAAAATGTTGGTTTTTTTTATAATATGTAAATGATGGTTTGTTTGGTTGCTCAAAGTTAGAGAAGGCAAAAATAAATAAATAAATAAATAACTAAAAGTTGACTCCATATGTTTTAATTTCGTCGTCTACTTGTGTGCACAAAATAAAAGTCATTGACAAAAATACCCTAAAAGTATCTCACTAAACTATAACTTTAATTGATTAAACTTTAAAAATAATGATTAAACCACCTTGACGCACCTTACATTGCAAGTCCGAACTTTATCCGATTAAATTTCAGCATCAATCGTTTAAATGATGTGCAATACCTTACATTGATTTGAATGAATCTACTTGCTCAACATTTTAATTGACTAAATATACAATTTTTTCTTCTTCCATCCATACCAAACAATTTCACAATTTCTCTTTTTTTTTTCCCCTCTTATTTTTATTAAGAAAACTACTCAAAATTTCACTTTATATCTTATCTTTTCTCACCTATTTATCTCCGCTTTATTTATTTTGTTGCTAGCAAATGGCGTGTAAATATGTATTTGTCGCAAATGATTTTCTCCTCTTTTTTGTTGCTTTGGTTCACGCATGTATGTATGGTAAAAGTCCGTTAAATACCAGATATCTCAATTTCTCTCAACCAGCTTTTGTTAGGAATTTATTCGCATGTTTGGTGAGAACAGTTGCCAAACTTAGTTTCTTATTCACACATAGGTTCTCTGAATGCAGTTAGTGAAAAAGAAAGAAAAAAAAAAAAACTTTTCAACAGATGTAAGTCTATTATGACTATAAGTGGGAAAGCCTAAAGTCCAAGCTAATATTATGCCTTTTGACCTTATGCATGGAGATGATAATTCTGGCGTTTTTTTTGCTGCACATTAAGCTAATTGCTTACTAACTTCGAGGGACTGATCGAATGGACCAAGACAAGATCTCCTTTGATATCTCACAGTTCGCAAGTTCAAGTTATATTTGTTTCATTATTTTTAGATAAATAAGTGTACCCTCTGTAATCAGTAACCACTCTTTGAATCAAGTTAGAGACTTTTTCTACCTTGAACTCGACCATCTCTTCTCCTTTTTTTTTTCTTCTATTTCTTTTATGGGTTGAGGAATTTTCCTATATATATGTATATAAGGGAATAAGAATACTTTAAACTTGAAATTATTTTATGGTATTGGCTTGCTGAGGTTTCTGTCAACTGCTATCAAATTTTCGTCTTAGTTTATACATTAGCCTCAAGATGCTTATATGAGGTGTTATTGAAATAATAGAAAGAATAATTTGGGTGTTGTACCAACCTGACTCTAGCCGACCTGAGCCGAGTTCATTGTACCAACCTAACTAGAGCCAACCTTGGCTATACCCACAAATTAATCCACCCCGACGTGACCTCTTAAGCATGCCAAGATGACGTCAGAGAATGCTGACATATCATAGAAGGCATCATTAAGATACCTCGGTAAGTTAACGAAAACAAGGACAAGTAACCACCCTCAGAAGATAACCATATAGCAGTTGCACAGTTATTCGGACGACTCCACACAGGTAATAATATAATGATATGCAAAACTGGAAAAGCTAGGCTAACTTGATCGTCGGAGTCCTTTTTGCAGGTACATCCGAGACGCTCAAACAGAGAGACCGAAGAAAAGGAATCTCATCTTGTCAATCAACCTCGTACGCTCTCAAACAAGCCGAGCAGAAGAGATGACTTATCCGAGTTAGGAAGACGACCTAGTTCGTGTAAGTACAGGTGTGTTTTATATTGGGCGGTTCCATTACATATATGGTCCTACTGGAAATTAATTGGAGGACTTACAGCATATGCCACAGAATCTGGGATTGTTCTACTCCTTTCTTAATTATTGGATCACTATTTTTGTCTGATGCAGTAGGCAAAGAGAAGACTCTTGATGTGTTCTGAAGAAATGCTAAAGCCATCACTTCCAGTGGTAGGTTTGAGATCTGAAGGGGATTATATGACTTGAATTTTGTTTAACTGGGCCTTAAAACATGCTTTTTATCATTGGTTCAATGTCATAACAATACCAACTTCCATATCTCCTTTGCTTGATTGTTTCTTCTTAAGAAAGGTGAAAATTAAAATAATATTATATTATATATAATGTAGGGTGCCTTTATTTATTTATTTGTGACACTAATCCTTGTGACTGCTTTTAAACAACTAAAACAAGTTTGAAGTTTTATTAATAAAGAGAATGCACGTCCTTTATATCGGGAAAAACCCACGACCCTCACCTTACAAGCCGGTTTTGTAAGATTGAGTTAGGCTTAATCTACTATTCTAAGATGGTATCAGAGTCATTTAGATCCACTTTAAAAAATGAGCCACCCACTATTGATGCATGTCTCATAGACATGAGGGGGTGTATTGGGAAAAACTCATGTCTCGCCAATCCTAGATCATTAAAAAGGGTCACCCACCATTTATCCACGTACCAAGCCTAATAGTGTTGGACGTGAGAGGGTGTATTGGGAAAAACTCAAGTCCCACATCGACTAGAGATTAGACAATTGAATAGTATATAAGTAGAAAGCAACCCTCATCTTACAAGCCGGTTTTGTAAGGTTGAGTTAGGCTTAATCCACTATTCTAACACTTTAAAGTAAAATGATTAAATAATTAATTCATATAATACTTAGACTATAAAACTTGTCACACTTATTCGTTCTTTATGA